CTCCTCCTCCTCCTCCTCCTCCTCCTCCTCCTCCTCTTCTTCTTCTTCTTTTCTCCCTCTCCTTCTCCTCCTCCTCCTCCTCCTCCTTCCCCTTCCCTTTCCCCTTCCTTTCCTCCTTCTCCTTCCTCTTCTCCCTCTCCTTCTCCTTCTTCTTCTTTTTGGTTGTAGAGTTTGAACTCCAGGCCTAGGCACTGTCCCTGAGCTTTTGTGCTCACAACTAGCACTCTACTAGTTTGAGCCACAACTCTACTTCCAGTTTTCTGGTGGCTAATTGGAGATAAGAAACTTACAGTCCTGCCAGGGTTGGCTTCAAACCATGATCCTCAGGTCTCAGCCTCCTGAGTAGCTAGGATTATAGGCATGAGCCACAGACGCTCTCAAGCTTTTGTGTTTATCTCCAATAAACTACTAAAAAAGAAAAAAAGCTTGAAAAGAGTCTATAGCTCAAGTGGTAGAGCACTACCTTGAGCAAGAGAAGCTCTCTCTCACACACATACAAATGAGCAGACAGAGGCTGTAATCAAATGCTTTCTGAACAACTAGAACTTAGTTTATGAGTACATAGCTCTAAAATATTTGAGTCAAGATTACAACTGAGAATTAGTGTTTTTACTAAGAAACTTACTTAGTCATGAAAATCTTCTGTGCAGTTGCAATACTCTAAAATCAAAGCCATTTCAGAGGAAGCAAAAGTAGCTTTTGTTCTGGTTCTAGCTTGTGGTCTCTAGCTTGCCGTCACTTATTCCTCATTCCATTCATGATCCGCACAGAAGGTCTTTGCCATGGCTGCCTCCAGCAACTTCAGACTTCAAGTTCTCCATAAAATGCATAGCTTAGAATAAGGTCTTTGAGTGCTTCTGGCTCTTAATACTCCTTGTCTAGATTCTCAGCAGAGTCGGCCACCAATGGAACACAAACAGACTGACAGTTATATCAGAAAAGCACAAACTATGCCTTGCTAGGAAGTGCTACTGGACCTGACCTGCCTCTGGGTTTCAGGGTTCAGTGCGTGGATCGGCATGCTCTATGTGGATCATTACCACACCAATCCTGTGCTGGTCAGCTTTTGCCATATTCTCATCACTGGCCACAGGGAGAGGAAGCTGCAGAAGTCTATCAAATACTGGTACCTAAACCAATCAGCAGGTAACATCTATCTCCTGTTTGAACCTGGGTTCAGAGAAAAGGAAATAAATATCCAAAGATACCTGGGATCTCCCAAAATTCCCCAGGATTGCCTCTTCTAACCTTCCCCCTTTTAATCTGCATACCCCATTCAGTGTATCCTTCAACCAGGGAGCTCAGGAGACTTAGCTACCAGTCAGCTAAGCTTTGTGTCTTTTTCTGCTAAGTGATCTCTTCCTGGAAATGAGCTCTGGTTAGGCAAATGGAATCCAGACCTCATTTGTTCGAGGGTTCTGATGTATCTTATATCCTAGGCTACCCACAAGATGCCCTCCAAGATGGGGCTTAGTTAGGATTTTCTGCCCTCTGAAGATATTCTGCCCCTTCAGGGTTCAGATGCATACACTGCTGTCCCAACTATGCAGATAGCCAGGTCTGTGGGATCACTCACATTCCTCTACCTCCATCCTATCCACAGGTGTCCCCCACACATTTGACACAGCTCTTCCAAAAGTCTTCAAGAATGGCAAAGGCAAACTCTACTCTTCCCCCAATCAGCCAGCACACAACTCCTGGTTTATCTGCTCTGATTCTATCTTAGGTCCCCGCATCTCAGCAAGGTCCAGGATGAGGTGGCTCCTGCTGAAGACCTTGATCAACAATCCCAGGCTTATCATGCTCAGAAAATCAAAATCAGATCATGGTTCCCATGAGTTCACCCAAATTCTACTAACGTGCTCAGATTGTTGACTCTGGCTACCATCTGCTACAAGACCAGGCCAGGCCATCTGCTTCCAAGAGAAGGCTCTGTATAACCAGCAGTTATACCTGCAGTGGGAAGGGATGGTACAGGCTCTGTTCTCATACATGGCAGACAGAAGATGGGTTGAAGACTCAGGGAGATTTCTCTCCTTTGACCAAGCAAAAAAAAAAAAAAAAGAAACTAAAGAAAGTCTATTACAAACTTTGCCACTTCCACTATCCATTGTGGAGACAGCCTTGAGTAGTTACCTATTAACAGAAGAACTAAGTTCAACTCTAAAACAGAACTGTCACTGAAAACAGTCTACATTAGGAGAGACTGTTTTTCTCTGGAACAGAGGATGGCTCTCAATGCAGTGAGGTCCTTACTACTTCCTGTTTTGCAGGTGTCATGTTGGGTGGGAAAGAGGATGAGCAGATCCCAATGCACTCTCTGCCCCATGGCCACTAGGATGAGGAGTGGATCAGAGCTAATCTGGGCTTTGCTCTCAGAATCTCCCTGACAGCTGTGGACTCACCTGAGAAACCACCTGTCTGAGGAAGCAGAGATGAGGTAGGCAGGCATTCCAGGCATTGGGGAATAAAAAGTCAAAGTCACTTGAGCAGGCAAGCCCCAGGATGTTTGATGAGGGTGAGCCAAGGAGCACATGAGGGTTCAGGGTGCTGATTTGAACCATTTCAAGGACACTCAAATGCCAGCCTGGGAGACAGGGACCCCTGTCCTACTGCAAAGCTCAGTACTTACTCAAAAATGTCATGCTCTAGCATAAGTTCTCATAGCCCATGACCTGCAGAAATTCTGACCATTCAAATCCCTCATGAGCCTGGGCAAGTACTATGAGGCCCTACCAATATGGCCGGGAAAGACTCCTATGCATGACCCCAGAGAGAGTATAATTTGGTTGTTATGTGCAGAACATATTTTCTGTCTCAAGTCAGATCATACTCTGGGTGATTCAAGACTCTAGAATGCCAGAGACTAGATTCCTACCTTGGACCTATTTTGTATCTCAGAGATCTTGGCTGAGATTTTAACTCTGAGTTTCAGTTTTCTTCATGTGCAAATAGTTTAATTATGGTACTCCTCTCATGGTTATTGAGGGATTAAATCTTCTCAATAAATGTTGGCTGTTGTGGTGGTCCCTATTTTTCCTTCTGTGTGCTATGGAGAAGATGGATGGTGCCCAGGGGGAGAGGAAGAATGGGCTTCAAGTCAAATAATATATTTGTAAAGTTATTTTATTTTTAAAAGGTACATGACTATTGTACATATTTATGGGTGATATTGTGGTCTTTGATACATGTGTACAATATATTGATCAGGACAAGGTTATTAGCATATTCATCACTTATTTATCATTTCAGTATTTAGGGAACATCCAATGTCTTCTAGCTATTTTAAAATTTAACACTAAATTATTAGCTATAATCACAGTACTGTGTTGCGTAGAACACCAAAATGTGTTGTTTCTAACTGCAATGCAGCCCCCAGCCAACCTCAAGAAGCATTTTTTTCTTTTCTTTTCTTTTGTTTGCCAGTCTTGGGGCTTGAACTCAGGGCCTAGGAACTGTCTCTGAGCATTGTTATGCTCAAGGCTAGCACTCTACCAGTTGAACCACAGCACAACTTCTGGCTTTTTCTAAGGAGTTTATGGGAGTTAAGAGTGCAATTTTTTTTGTTTCTTTTGTATGTTCTTCCCCCATGGTTTAACACTCTTTTCTCTGTATTTGATTCTGGTGCCCTGCACCTTATATATACACTTTTTTTCTAGTAGGAGGAGGGGAAGGGAAATAACAAAATGCGGAAACAAAGATATAGGTTTGACCCATTGTAACAATGAGATGTACAAGACACTATGTTGAAAATGAACTTTACAACTTGGGGTGGGAGGGAGGAGTTGAGGAGGTGGGGAGAGAAGGGATGATAGGGGTAAAACAAAGGAGGGAGTAATAATGCTCGATAGGAAATGTACTCATTACCTTACTCATGTAACTGTAACCCCTCTGTACAGTATCTTTACAATAAAAAATATATAAAAAAGAGTATCACAGACTTTCCTTCTTGGGGTTGCTTTGAACCTCAATCCTCAGATCTTAGCCTCCTGAGTAGATAGAATTATAAGCTTGAGCCACCAGCATCCAGTTTCAAGAAACATTTTTACGATGAAGAATGAAAGGAAATCAGAGTTGATGCTGAGGTAAGAAAAACACATGCTACGCTTCTTCCATTCTTGTCTTTGACTTTCATCCTGTCTCTAAGCATGGAGAGACTAAACGAGTGGTCTCTCGCTGTTCCAACTGGGACATTGCTGAGTTCAGAGAGCAGTGGAAATGTTATTCAAAAGCCAAATACCAGTTTCACCATCTGATCCAAATTCAAACACAAAGGCTCAGAAACCTCCAAGTCTGGGCAAGAGTCATGACTCAGGCAATAAGCCTCAGGTGAAGGCATGCTGAAGTGCTCTTCATGCTCCTCCAAGTTAATTCCATAAAGGATGCCATTTTTATCCCCTTTTGTGTTTCTAAGGGAGCCCACTTGCACCTTGCTTACTCTTTGCAATATTTGATCACATGAAATTGTTTCACCTTTGTTGACAAAAATTAACTTCTCCTGCTCACTGACTGGAGATTGTTAACTCTCATTATGTACACTGTATATATGCTTGTGATGTTTCCAATAAACTCGATCTATACCCACATGATGTGGTTCACATTCTGCCTACCAGATACTTCTGTCTTGCACCTAGCATATAGGGATAGCTTCTGCTGTCCACAGCTACAGAACTGATTTTTTTCCCTCTGACTTCTTGGAGAGCTGAGGAGTGTATTGGAAGTCAGGATGCAAATGACAAAGTAGAGCACTCAGAATTTGGGGAGTGTAGGGGGCCTTAGAACAAATTCTGAGTGTTGTACTCATTAACACAAAGACATCCCAAGAAAGATAAATATATAGCTTTTGTAGACGCAGCTCCTGTGTTCATTCTAGCACCTAGGGCTGTCTTCTCTTCTCTCCTCTCACTGTTCACAGCCACAGAACTGATTTTTCCCCCCTGACTTTTTGGAAAGCTGGGGAGTGTATTGGAGCTCAGGATACAAATGACAAAGTAGAGCACTCAGAATATGGGGACATTTAAACATTTGTTTCAGGCCCCCAAATTTTTGAGTGCCTTACTCATTAACACAAAGACAAACATCCAACAAAGATAAATATACAGTGTCTATCCTAAGCAGCTCCTGTGTTCATCCTAGAATCTATGGCTGTCCCCTCCTCTCTCACTGTCTACAGCCACAGAACTTTCCCCCCCCCAACTTCTTGGAGATTGAGGAGCGTATTTGAGCTCAGGATGCAAATGACAAAGTAGAGGACTCAGAAATGGAGGCCTTGAAACAAACGTTTTAAGTGTTTTGACAAAGTAGAGCACTCAGAATATGGGGGCCTTAAAACAAATGTTTTTTTTTTTAATTATTAAGGTGACATACAGAAGGGTTACAGTTACATAAGCTAGGTAATAAGTATATTTCTGTCAAATGTGTTACTCCTTCCCTCATTTTTATCCTGCTTTCCTTTCCCCTTTTCTCCCCCCAAGTTGTACTGATCATTTCCAACAGACTGTCTTGTGAAAATCACTGTTGCATTGGTCCCCCTGCTTGTCTTTTGTCTCAGCAGTCTGTTGTTCTTCTTCCCTTCCCTAATTCAGATAAATCTATATACAACACCAGAATACCAAAATCAATTACAGTGACAACAGGGGATATACCATAGGGAGAAGAACATAGAAAAGAAACAAGAAATCACATAGTACATTAAAAAACAACAGCAAAGAAAAACTTCTTGTGTCCATGTCTTGAAGTTCATTTCACTTAGCATCATCTTATATGACAGGCCGGGAATGTGGCTCAGTGGTAGAGTGCTTGCTTAGTAAGCATGGACCCCCGGGTTCAATTCCTGATATCACACAATAATCATTTTATATGATCATGTACAGAGCTATTGAGGTGTATACTAATTATTGCAAATAAGGGAATCCATGGGACCTATGTTTCTTTAGGTCTGGCTTACTTCACTTACTATGATTTTTTTCCAAGTCTTTCCATTTCCTTACTAAATGGGACATTGTCATTTTTTTCTGATGGAAGCACAGAGTTCCACTATATATATATATATATATATATATATATATATAT